AAGTAATTTAATCTGGAGAAGAAACAAATCGCAAACAACCATTCAAAACAAATAGTAAATTAGAAACAAAGAATCTAAAGTATAAATGGCGTTAAAGAATAATATTTACATGAAAGAGAATTTAAACAATGACACTGAGTTTCAAACTTGCTTATGAATATCGGTTTATTTTATTTCTTGGCAAAGTTGTTCTAAGATATATCATCTGCTAGTATTGCTGTTAACCCACATATTTTAACTTTGCTTTTTGCATTTTTTGTAACCAGTTTTGTTTTGCACTGAGGATTCGTAATAGCAGTTTCCCGTCGTTCTTCAATAAACTAAATTACGTGTCCCCCCCCATAAGACCTGATTATTCTGCAGCCCCGTTAATGCACTCCTGATAATCTTGCGTTTATTATATTTTAATTGCGCAAAAGTCTTCCTTTGTTTTGCACAACTTATTTAATTTTATTAATTTATTTTTTTCTATACAACCAATTTTTGAATTCACAGAACTGTTTTCTGCCATTCCTGAAAAGTGGTGCATTTTTCCCAGAAATTTATTGTTACCCTGAGCAGTAATAATCTGTATAAATGAAAAACCCTTGACATGTACTTACAAAAAAACCAAAATTAATGTTACATAACATTGTTGCAGCTTTAAAGTATTTTCTTATATTTTCTGTGTACCGATATCGATTTTTTAGAATTATATTCAGAAGCAGTTTTATTGGAGCAGCTGCTGAGCTCCACTTTAGAGAAAAGTGAAGAATCAATGGTCATTTTAATTTAATCTATTTACTTAAATTGTCTAGGTTTATCCAAAAGTTGTTATGATTTATAATCTTAAATTCAAGATATAAAATTACTTAAATCGTGTAGTAATTAAATATTTTAATTTCTTTTGGGGGGGAGAAATTTGCGCAGTGTTTACTATGAATTAAAGAGACTGAATTTACATTTCAAAATCTTCGTAACTGGCATAAAATGTTTTTCATCTTGAAATATTAAATATTTCTGAAAACAAAGGATTTATTTTACTTAGAAATACACAATGATAAGAAGATGAGATGTTGAATCATTGTTGATAGTGAGTAAAGAATGTAAATTATAACGATAGTTAGTGATGCAGTTCCACCTTTATTTCTGCCAAAAATTTCAATACGTCGTATTCGGACTCCTCAAAGTGCTAGTTTCTCGTATAAGGTATTTCTTCCGTCTCCTTAGCATGCATTCGTGGTGTAATAGTCAGCACACTCGGCGATTGTAATGGTCAGCACACTCGGCGATCGGTATTCGAGTCTCGGCGAGGGCATTGCTCATTTTTAGTCTCTCCTGCTTTCAAAAAACAGCTAATATCTCTACAGTGGCGCCCGAACTAAAAGGAGGTGGATGATGATTCTTCACCACCAGGAGTTGTCTGCTGAGTCCCCTAATTCCCAGTTACCTTATAAAAGGGGGAGTATTAATTCAGAAGTCAAAAACCAGATTGATTTTTGTTGTTTGACTTCTGAATTAGTATTTATTCGGCGTGTTATTGTGTCTTAATTAAGGGGGAGTATGTTAGGTATTTCTCCTGTCTTCTTAGCATATCTTCGTGGTGTAATGGTCAGCACACTTGGCGCGTATTCGAGAGCTCATTTTTCATCTCTCCTGCTTTCAAAAAATACCTAATGTCTGTACACTTATAACTTACGTAATGAGCGAATGGTCAAAAATCAAAACGATAGATATCATTATTACCATTCTGCAGGATCTCTGAGAATAAATTAGAGTATTTTATATGTAAGAAGTGTGTGGTATATGAAATGGTTCGAAACTGTTTTTATTTAATTCAGTAACTTAAAGCAATCCAAATTAAAATTAATATTCTAATGCATACTATATTATCAGCGCAATAGAGGTTTATATTGACATTCAATTTCGATTCATATTTAACAGCAAACATCTTCTGCGATGTTTGCATTTTCTTCTTGTTCTTGTTGCTATCAAGATTATCACTCTCTATATCATCATAAAAACCTTATTTTTTACAAAACACTAACGAAAAAGTATATTGAAAGTAGATCGGTATTTTTTGTAACCCATAAGTTAGGTCTACTTCTTCCAATCCTTTGTCTTCGGATTCAGCTCCTCTCTTATATGATTTGGAAAGTGGAATGTTGCTCCACTTATTTAAGTAAAAATATTTTATCTATAAGTAAGGATATCTGTAACTCAATGTGTTTCATTTTCATTTGTTCGATTCGAAGAACCAAAAAATCTATAACATGTACAAGTTGAAGTTGATGTTAGTTTGAACAAAGGGCCAAAAATCTCGTCGCTCTTCAAGCCGACCAGCCTTTGATCTTAGTAGAGTTTTAAATACGTTCATGTGGTTATATGCGGCTTCGCGTGTCGCAAAAATGCATACACATAAAATTTTTGAGACAGTGAATTATATCAAATCACTTTCAGTCTATTTCAATCCATTCTATTGCATGCTTTAAAAAGACCTCAGGGAATTCCATAGTTCGTTTCGTGAGATTCTGTATGATAATTTAATGCTTAATGTGAAAAACTAAATAAATATTAAGAATAATTAAAGTTTAAAATGTGCAGATAGAATGCTGCGAATTCTGAAAATTAAGTTTTCATAGAAGGATATCTCATTTAGCAGTCGCGTTCACGTAATACTAAAGGAAACGTATTTTCTGTGACATTTTATACACTGGTTAATTACAGAATGTTACAACTTTCAAAATACAGCGGAAAACAGGGAGTATTTGTCCAAACAAGTTATGCATTATTACATGTAACAAACTGAATCAACATGCAAGTGTAACAGCTTAAAATAATTGCTGTTTGAGTACTCATTTCAACCAAGACCGCAGTTTAATTTTCAGTGCAAATCTGCATAAATAGTTAATAAGCAACTCCCAATTTTAGTCACAACTTTAATTCGAAAGGCAAAATGCTGATGAAGCATTTCATTAAAAAGCAGTGAAGCCATTAGGAAAAAAAGCAATACAGGTGGAACAAACCCTAAATTTTTTCAAGTCCGTTCCAAATCTCAAAAGGTGCTTGAATATATCGAATCCTTAATGTAACAATAATTATAAAAACCTAAAAGAATAGTTCATAATACAGATTATTTTGTATAAAGCAGAATTTGAAAGTTACATTTCATGAAAAACAAATTTAACTATAAATATCTAAAAATGCATTTGTTTTTATTGAAGAGGATAATCAAATTTAGGAAATCACGTACACACTAAAATTCTTCAATTTTCTAAATTGAATTTTAAACAAAGTATATGAATAACCGCGCAATTTGTTTTCCGTTTTTTTCGGAACATTTTTAAACTAAGGTAAAAACAGAGTTATAACTTTATTTTAGGAGTTAACACGGATAAATGATAAATATAGAAAGCTGTATTTTCTCATAAGAATTAAGAATGTGCCATGTAATGACGCTGAGAGGTGACACTAATGATACATACCTGTAGAAAATTGACCGGAATGGGAAAACCATCATCATATCATTCTTCCAGAAGTTTCGGTGATATTATGTGTCATTTCCGTATATTTATCACAAGTACGTACATATTACATTGCAGGATTATATCAAATAATCAAATAATGATATAATTCATTGTTACTGAATATATGATGTTCAAAGCCTGAAACCGGGGCTTTGAACACGGTTTCAGAATTGTTTTACAAAACACGCTCTTTACAATAATACACTTTGCAAGTACATGTTACAAAACACACAACGACGATTATAATATATGATTACAAAGTTAATGACGATTACAATATTTTATATACATACTTTGCTAAACATTCAGTTACACTAAAAAAAAGAGATGCAGTTTTAGAAAAAAAGGGAATACTAAGTCCAGACCTGTAACAACTAAAGGTTTTTAACAATTTAATTAACTATGTAACTAACTGCTCACCTTTAGAAATTATGTCTACGATTTAGCAAATCATCGCTTTTCTTATACTTACTGTAGCCACAAGACACAACTCAAAAGATAACAATTTAACATAAAGCTATATTCCTCACAACTGTTGTACCTTAACTTAAAATAATACAAAATTAGATTATCTTTTTTTTTTAACTTCAACAGTAAATGGATTGAACAGAAAAAGATCAACTATTTTTCATTTCTTACCAACGGCGGTAAAGTCAAGCGTTCGCATCTATACGGATCAGCTGCTGTCAAGGCAAGCAGCATCAGACAAACTTATATTTACCGTTACACAGGTTATCATTGCCTTCTCTTTTTGACCTGCCCTAATTGCCATGAAAATCTGCATAACCTCCTCGAGTAAACGAAAATATGAAGAAACAAGGCATGAAGGAAAGAAATCAAACTGTCACATTGTCCTTATTCGAATATTATAAAATTATGCACCTTGTTTTGCAAGTTTATGAATAATTCTGATGGTTCTTGCCACCAAAGGGCTTTGTATTATCATAAACTTGTAAGCTTGAAGCTACTAGAGATTTTAAGGTGGTGTCTCTTGTAAGCGTGTAGAGACATTAGGATATTTTTGGAAGCAGGCAAGATGAAAATTAGCAACCGCCTTCGCCGGGAATCGAACCACGGACCTCTGGAATACCGGCCCATCGTGCAAAACGACTACACCATGAAAGCACACTAGGAAGGCGGGAGAAATACCTTATAAGTGGACAGGCAATAAGATAATGATCTGGAGTGCCATTTACTTCACAAAGACGTCAGAGGTGATACATTTCAATTGAATTTACAGTAGACACGGTCTTTTTTCTTACTAATACTTCCATTGGATACCAGAAATAATCTTTCCAGAGTTTTTTTTAAAAGCCCATCATCAGTAAAGGTTAAGACAGCTGAACACTGGTTGCTTAACGCGAGTTCAAATTCCGGCGAATGGGCTAGCTGCATGCGGGGATTTCCTTGCATGAATACGCGATAATTTAAACAAAAATAAACTAATATAATTTTAACACAAAACGCACAAGAACAAAACACGAAAACTCTCTGTTCGCAGTTTCTTTGGACTTTATTGAACTTCGTCAAAGTGTTGTTGTTAGGATACACATTGTAAAAGTTGAACACATCATTAACTAGAATGTTGCGCAGAAATATTTCTGAATCTTCTACGAAATCCAAAATGAAAAACGAGTTAGTGCAAGCAAAGTCTTAACAAACTAATTGCTTCCGTAAATCTAAAATTGTGGTTTTTATCCCAGCAGTGAACAGCAACTGAAGACGGGTTTGTTTCATTTAATTTCCGTACTTTTCTATACACTTTACATACACACGCAAAAATGATACTCAAAATACTTTTTTAATACCTCCATGAATGAAGGTGCAGTATTTTGACTTATATAAATGAGAACTTCCTTTTATTCATAGGTTTGAAGAAAACTATAAAATCATATTTTTAGAAACATTTGTAAAGAAGAAGGTTACGTTTAGGAATGAATGAAAAACAGTGGATGGAATTTGAATACTTAAAGCTGATGGAGAAAAGGGTCTTGAAATTTTCTTAATTGCGATGTCAGTAATTGTATAAAGATAATCACGTGAAACAGGATAGCCTTTATTATATATTATTTAGTATTATCCTTGTAATCCAATGAGCACTTAAATAGTATGTCAAAAACTAATCTTTCCAAAGATATCGTTGAAACATTTAACTATCTTTTAGATAGGATTCAAAGGATTCTTATGACGAAAAACGAGTGGTTTTTTGAATTTTCAAATATCGAATCTTTCGCAAAATTAATCTCATTAAGTATTGCTATGCTTCGTTTCTATTAGGCAATAATATTCAAAGCATGTCAAATTTTGTTCGGAAGTTTTAAAACAATGTTTCTGAACTATTTTATAGTTTTCTGTAAGAATTCTGTTATTTCCTCTAATTCTTTTTCAAATGTGTGGAATCAATATTAAAGTTCCAGATCATAATAATTTTCCTGCAGGCTTTACTGAAACCTAGGTCGGGTAATTTTCACGCAAAAGTTGTGCGAAGACGAAGAACAAAAAAAAACTGAAAGAGTTCAGATTTTAAAGAACGTCCAAAAGGTCTGTTTTAAATTTTAATATAAGTTTTCAGTAAGGATTATCGATAGGAAGGCACAAGTGGAAAAGCGAAATATTTTATAGGGTATTAGATGAATATGCGATTAGGGAATATGTGTGAATATGGGAACGTTATATATTTATAAGTAAAAGTGAAGAATATGTAATGTAATTGTATAAAAATATTTAATGTTTTTAATTAGATAGATCTTGAATTAAATGGATTTTTATTGAAATCAATTAGATTAAAAAGTAAAAAAATAAATAAAATAAGATACGCTTTTATTGCTTTTAAATAGTTTACTTTGTTAATTAATAACAAACAGATTAAATATGCAAGACTAATATCTCACGTTTTTCTAAACTGCAACACAATCGAATGAAAAGTGAATTAAAGATTAGACCACGCAAAATCGCAATTAAACAGAAAACTTCCTTATAACATTGTAAGGTTTTTCCTAAATTTTTAACAGTTATCTTTAGTTAAAGATAACTTTCCTATCTCACCTAATTTCAGCTTACAATTTCCTTCCAGAATGTGCTTTTAGAATGGCAATTAATGCAAATGAGAAAGAGCAGTATTTAAGTTGAAGTTCCACTGACTTTGTTAGGATTTAGGAACGGGGAAGACGGGCCTTTACCATTTGGCCGGGTAAACTTTACCATTTGGTTAATTGGTTTAGCGCCATGTGATCCATTTATCCATGTGACCCCAGCCGTTTATTAATATTAACAAAATAGATACATAATTTGGAATGAATACATAATTTAGAATTAATACATAATTTGGAATGATTCATAGTTTGGACTGTAATGCAAAAATTTGGAGCATAATAATAAATGTACAGAATTTTGAATGTAATACAAAAATTTTAAACATAATATATGACATAACTCCTTAAAATATGTACGTAATCTCGAACATAATATGCGACGAAAAAGAAGTAGTAGTAATGAAGAGCAGTTTATAGTTCCAACAAAGTCCATAGTTCAAAGTTTATATTCAAAATCCACAGTTCAAAGTCTATAGTCCAAAGTCTGTAAATAAATATTATGTTTATGTAATTCATATAAATAGTTCAAATTTGCAGATTTTGCAAATATACAGTTCAAATAGTTCATGTGTAAGTATAGTTCATATTTCAAAATGTTCATGTATATAGTTCAAATAGTTCATATATGTAGTTCAGGTAGTTCTGATCAAGAATTCAGAGATATCAAAAAATTTAAGTTTCGAAAATATAAATAGATCTAAAGTTTAAATAAATTGTAGTTTATCATACTGTTCAAATTATGGTAATTATGATAGATTCCATGGAAGGTTCAGATTATGGGTAGATTCCATGAAATCACTTGGAATATTTGCAAAATGTTAAAATCAAGTTGATGCAGTAGTTCTGTGTTATGCTTGAACATCCAGCACTTGATTAAAGAAAACAGCACTCCTGCATTCAATATTACGATGATAAAGTTATCATAAGATATTATGTTTGACAGAGGTCTAAACCAAGGTCGAATAACTTTTGCATAATTTTGGAAACTGAATTTGCAAGGTGTTTTTGGCGGATCATGAATTTGAAGAAAGCTTGAGTATTGGAAGTTGGAATTGAGATGTGGAAGTTTTCAGTTAGTGGACAAGCAGCAATGTAGAGTTCTGGAGTACCTATTTTGCCACAGCGGCAATAGTCAGTATGAGAAATGCCATGCTTTGCGAAGTAAACAGGAAATGGGCCATGTCCAGAACTGACTTCGTTAGAGAGCCAGAGATTCTTGACTAACTGCGCCGCGTTTGTCATTTGGCTATTCTCTCCTGTAAGCTATTACTACGCTCGGCCGTATTTCAGGCCCTTCATAGCTTCGCCAGTTACTTAACATTTAAGGGCAACTCCTCAGAATTTTGATAGCTTCGGCTATATCTTTTTAGTTTAGTTCTTAGTACTGAGTTCAAGCTCAAGTGGAAGCTCTGAGGAAGGAGCCGACTTACCCTTTATTTCTCAAAATTCTTATTTTGAGAAATAAAGGGTAATTAACCCTTCTTGAGTTTACATCTCTGTCCCTGACCACTTCACAAGGCTCCGACACTCTTAGCTGTAAAAGAAAAGGTTGGAACACCACACAACTTGTATGATGCGAAATTAACATAAACAGTGTATTTCAACTTAACGAAAATCCACAGTGTTATCTAAACTCCTTGCTTATTTATGGTTGTTAATAACAACAAAATATGAATACAATTTTAATCAAATCAATATTTTTTATGCCTAATAGTTTTAGAAAACCAAAACAACACTAAAAACGATTTGTTATCATTCAAAAAATGCAAGGTAAAGTGACTTACCTTAGTGTCTAAGTTTCAAATCAATTACAACAAAGTTATACTTTGAAACTACAACATCTGTTGAATAACCTACATGAAAATTCAAAAAGAAATTCACCATAGCACAGCAATTACTAATTTGGGGACTTTTTTCATTTTGCAATCACAGGAGGTAAATATGCTTAGATAATAGCAGTGCTTTGCACAGCATTTCGTCCGCTTTAGTAACTTTTACACATAACACAATAGCGTATTCCTAGCAATTATAAAATTTTTACCGAAAAAATTCTAAAGGCTAAAAGAAAGCTGTGGTGTAACAAGAACGATTTTTATCAAGAATACATGAGAAATTTTAACTAATTCGTGTCAGAAATGTAATTACCATCAAAATTTCTTTCTTTCCCTTCTATGAATCAAATAATCATCTCGCTTTATTTTTATACTCAAAACTTTAATTAAAATTTCTAAATACTTTCTGCCAAATTCAGCCAAATATATTATACAAATCGCTCATTCTTTTGTCCACCTGCGAGATACATAACCTCATCATTTCTCTCGGAGACATTTTTTAATTGTTTTTCTACATCGACTCATGTTGTTCATAATTGTATTATAAATTCGATTCATGCGTGCGGGTTTTTATTTCTTTCACAGATAATGAAGCGGTTAAAAATAAACCCGCTTTATTCTTCCGTTCCGATCCGTCCTATTCAACTCTTCCAATTTTTCGATAGCTGCGGAGGGTGAACCTCAGCAGATGCTTTCCGACATTCCCAGAGCTGCATCTGCATCAGGCGAACAAAAGCGCGTCCAACCGCTGTCATCAATCAGGACAAGGATAATGAGGAGGCCCGTTTCGCCTAAAATAGGTTCATTCAGAGCACTAGTGATGTAGATCATTTTCCAAAGGTAAGTTGAACGATGGCTTTAGATGTCATAATTTAAAGCAAACGAAGAAATAAAAAAAAATTTTTTTTGAATAGTGGAAGTAAATTGGCATTGTGAAAACCTAAATTTAGAATCGATGATTCTCCATCCATTTTAACATAAATCAGCTGATGTCATTTCTGTCACTGCTACTGAAAGGACATAGCAAAATAATCGGAAAATCCATGGAAAAGATGCGTGGTGCTGCCATCTTTTGAAGCTATAGAGAGTTAAAAAATGATTTTTGGATCGTTTTTGCATACCTTATTCCAGTTTGTGAGCATAATAATAATAATAATTATTATAATTATAATAATATTGATGTTTTATGAAATTTATACTTATTGTTGCTTTCTATGCATGTTGCCTTTTAAATAGGACAGGTCATTTTATTCTTTCTTTAAAATTCCGATAGTTCTTGCCTTTTTTTTTTTTTTTTTTTACAATTAATAAGTACCCTGCATTTCTTACACAGATGGTGTTTCCCTGGAAATTATTTTCGATGTTTTGTGATTATAGACCGAGACCAAGAACGTATTAAAATTAATCTCATACTAATCTATGGAAAACAGCATGCTAATCTATGCGAAACAGTCACATAAATAATGCCACCGTTCTGAAATGTAGTCCATACCAGTTGATTGACTACATTCATGTTGTCGATACCAGTTGATCCATACATTATCCAAATTTTTTGTTATGAGAGTCGCAGTTCCCCATAGATTGCTAATGAAATAATTTTTTTTTTTTTTTTTTTTTTTTTGTTTCGGTTTAATTCCAGAATTATCAAGCATGCAAAAAAGTTATTAGAAACATCATCAATATTGAAAATGTTAGAAAATTGCTAATTTATTTAATGTAATTTGTTAGCATTTTTTTTTTTTGTTATTTTTCATTTCATTTTATTATGAATCTTTTCAATTTCTATCTCTGAAAGTGGAAAACTAGTTTTCCTTCTTGCACACTTGGCTTAGCAACTGTCTAAAGTGGTTAACTTCTCTCTCTTCTTCAGGGTGGTCCTTACTAAATAATCTAGATTTTTGCACATAATGATGGATCCTTTAAATTTTCATCTCAAGAAACTCCTTGATATTCGTCAAAAGCAACTCATGTTCAAATTCTGGGCTTTATCTGATTCCTGTTACTAAACCTTAAATTGTCTAGGTTTCTTATCACATATTAGATATAATCTACGTGAGATCCTTCAGAGACGCTCCCCAGGTCCAGTCTACAGTCCAAAGGAGCAAATGACAATAAATTGTTTATTTGGCCACCTAATCCTCCAAATACCAATCCTTGGGATATTTGGGGGAAAAGAGGATATTCCTTTTGTGCTTCCATTGCCATCCGACCACGGTGAATTCAAAGTTTAAATTATGCATGTTATCAAGGCAATCATTCCCAATATACTTCAATATGTGCAGATTCAAACTGACCTTAGAATGCATGCGAGTCTCAGGATAAGAAGATTTCATATAGAGCATCTGTAATGTATGGCACGAACGTAAGTATTAAAACTGACTATATAATGCATGTTGGTCTCAGGATGAAAGGATCTCACATACAGCATCTGTAATATACGACAAGAAACGTTTTAAATTGTCAAAGTTTAACTTGATGTAGCAGAGATAGATATGCGCCAATTAATTAAGTTCGCTTTTACGGTTTGTAACAAGTTGGTACTTTTTGATTTCCTCTGTATTAAGAAATATGTTTGCTACCTGCTCTTCATTTTTTTTTCTTTTGTTATGCATAGAGACATCAGCCTCATCCGTTCGCCATCCAGACAGAGAGTAAAATTAATTCTGTATTTAATCAATTTAATTCCGCAATGATATTGTTGAAGGTATTTTAATCATTTTATATTGTATTTTTATTTTTCGGTCTTGTTGTAGTATTTTGTATTTTTTTAAATTATTTTATTCCGTATTTGTTATTGTTGTCAGAGTGGTAATATTATGGTTTATTTTGGGTTTAATCTAATTTATAGGCGTATGTATATTATGTAATTTTTATTTTATGCATAAAAATCGTAGGTCTTTTAGAGATTTAGTGGTCAGCTGAATTACGAGGAAGGCTTATGCTAAAAGCGATTTGAGGAACTTTACGATTTATTTCGTGTGTTAAAGAGGAATTGCTAAACATACGCGTTCTTCTCGAGTTATTTCCAGATGTTATCTTGCTACGTGTACTATTGATTGTGCTAATTTTCCTAGTAAATTGTTAATTTCTTCCTGCTTATTCAGAGTTATTATTTAAAGAAACATCAACGATGTGGTATATCGTAAAAATATTCTCTTGCGGTTCGTAATAAAGAACACCTTTCAGCCGTACGTCATATTTTTATGTGGGATGTTCGTTGTGCGAGGCGTTCGTGATGCAGTTGTTCGTGATCCATTGTACAACCAAGACCATAGCAGAGCTCTAACAAGACTGTACTGAAAGATATTCTTGAAGTGGCGATTCTTTGAAATCTGTGGTGTACTATGACTCAAAAAATCTAAAATATTAAAAACTGAGAATATATCACATCATCTGAATTTAGTTAAGTGAATCTCATGCACAATCGCACTTGAAGTATGTAAGAAAGTAAAGAATTATTGCATTCTTTCGTGAGCACTGAAACGGCGTCAGTACTTAGGATGTCCATCTAGAAACTGGAAAACCCCCAGTTAGAAACCTATCAAAGGTGCGAGTGTTTCTTCACGTTTCATGGCCCAAAACTAACACTCTCTACAACGAAACTAGGAGCACTATGAATCAGAAATGCATTAACTGGAAGTAAAACCGTAAA